AGTTTGTACTGCTGCATGTTAAAAACGGCTCTGGGGCCCACACAACTTCCTATCCAATGGATACTGGAGACCCTTTACCCTGGGAATGAAGCGGCCGAGGCATGAAGCTGACCACTCACTCGAACTAGTGCCGAGGTCAAGAAAACGTGGATCTATACATCCGCTCCCCCATACGCCTTCATGGCGTAGTGCTTAATTGGTTAAGCACAGGGACAGCTTTACCTTTTTAGTGTATCAATTTTAATTAGCCTTGCTGTTGAAGCGTCTTCAAACTCATCACTAGTACACATATTATAATAATACTGCGGACAATATTGTAATTTTTGGAAGAAAGCATTTTACTGGCAGCATATTTATTTAGGTTTAAACGCATATTTTAAAACTATTTTAATGCTAGTGGGGTGGGACTAAGTCTCTTGTACTGCGGCCACTTCTGACCTATTGTACCACCCCCAGATGACAGGTGAGAGTGATTGTGGAACAATTGGTGAAACGAAGATTGGCAGGGGAAACCGAAATACTCAGACAAAACCTGCTCCAGTGCTCACCAAAATTCACACTTGACCAGACCCGGGATCGAACCCGGGCCGCCGCAGTGGGAAACCAGCTACTAACCGCTTGAGCTATGGCGCGGCCCTATTTTTAAACTTACTAAATTATAACTTTACGATACATTGCTGTTATGTATATAAATATTACAGGTGTTGACATTCTTCACTGAGGAAGCCATATTACCCCATAAACATAAGTAATATAGTATCAAGAATTATTTTATGCTTAGCAGGTTGGAGTAAAGCAACACGTTAATAGGTGAGAGAAGTACACAGTTTCCTGCTCGGACCGGGTTTCGTGGTCCCTCTCTTAACTTTCATAAAACCAAGCACAAACATCTTCCACCGGACCTTCCTCTCCACAGAAACTGGCTCTTTCTATTGTAATTTCAGCCCTGTGTCAGTGCTCACAATTCTTATCCCGTGATGAGGTTATGGGAACATTCTAATTGGGAACATCTGTTCTGGCTTGGTCAAATTGCGCAAACTGTGAGTTGAAATAAAATCCCATTATAAGTGAATAAACATCCTTCTCTGAGAGATTCACGTAAAGTGGGAAAGTCAGTTTTTGTATTAAAGGAGTAAGCACTTGCCAAATGAATGTTTTCGCCAGGACATAGCATTGTCTTCAAGAATTAATCCAGACATCAGTTAAATATTTCACAGATGTATGTTGAACTGTTGAGAGTGGGGATATATTCAGTCTGATGCACTTTGCGAATCTCTGATATACGTATGATATAAATGAGAAGTATAGGAAATGGGGTGATTGGAAAAAGAAGTGAAAGGAATCAATACTGTTTGTGTTAAATATGAGAGGAATAGACCTATACTGCATTTGAAGTGTTCAAATGAAATTTTCAGCGCTGTGTTCGTGTCAAATAACGTATTGTGACACGTGAGATTCATAAACTACGCTTTTATTTCGGTCAAGTAAATTTGACATGAACCTGCGCGCACAAACTCGTGTCACCATAAAGGTCGTCCAGTCCCTACCTGTTAATTTCTTTCCAAGCGTCATCCACTATTGGATTGGTAGTCAAATTGGGTAGACTGTGTTTGAGGGGGAAATGATTGAAAATATGGTAATGTCGTTTCTAGTGTGTCGCCGTGAAGCGTATGAAACAAAGAGCGTACTTTCCGTTTCATAACAAATTCCACGCATTGTAATGAGGAAGGGAGAAAGTTTCGTGTTCACGAAAGCCCCGCGTGAGGTTGGAAATTATGTGGAGGAAACAATAAAACTCTTTCTAATAGCGCGTTAATGAAAATGCTTGGAATTGTTTCTCTGAATTGCATTAAAACTCAATACATAAAATTTCTTTCGCCGGGTCGATGAAAGTAAAATAATCGTGTCTACACAAATCTCTCACACATCGCTGTTTATTTAATTACACAATTGAATGTTATTTACGTTGAGCCATTCCAGTAATTATCTAACTGGAACGCGAAGTAGATATAACCTCTATTTTTACTGCCTATATATATATATATGTGTGTGTGTGTGTGTGTGTGTGTGTATAAACGCCGATCACAGTGGCTGCGGAACCTAAGTCATGAACTGCCTTCTCTAGCTCGAACGCTGGGATCGTGGGTTCGAATCCCGCTCCAGGAATCGATATCTGTGTGCATTTATTCTGTGTCTGTGTTGTTCTGTGCATAGGTAGCGGCCTTGCGTCTGACTGATCCCCCGTCTAAGAGTCTTAGCGACAGTGTTTTGGTTTAAGGAACTGAAAAACGGCCAAGGTGTGGCAAATGGACAGTTGATCAATAAATAGATATAACCTAATCTGCTATGAACGTTTTTTTTTCTTTAATTTGAGTATTCTCCAAGACAAATATTAAGGCCTAAATGTTTGGGCAAAGTGATACTGGCTTCCCACTGCGGCGGCCCGGGTTCGATCCCGGGTCTGTTCAAGCGGGATTTGTGGTGGACAAAGTGGCGCTCGGGCAGGTTTACTCCGAGTACTTCGGTTTCCCATGCCAATCTTCATTCCACCAAATTCTCCATCATAATCACCCGGGGCATGTACAATAGGCCAGTCAGTGGCCGCCGTGTCGAGTGGACCCAGCTGGACTCCACCCCCCACTAAGGGAAGTTTCATATTAAGATCCTTCCACACCACGAACGAATATGCGTTATACCGTGTGTAGGAAATTTTACGGCAGAAAAAGTCTGTCTAATTCTGTTTGAATTTCCCACCAGCATAAAGACACTGGAAGGATGTTCACAATAGACTGCAGTAACGGTCTGCATCACGAAGTTTTGATAATGAACCCCGTTCCCATAGTAGATGGAATTAGGCCTATGCAGTTTATTTAAATAGTTCGTTGGTTCGTAGCTGTCCAACTTTTGAGGGCACATAAACTTCCCAGCACGTTAAGATAACAGCCTGACAGGCGGAGGCTTTGATACTGAAAGCTTCAGCATTTTAAGAATCCGGAGCAAGCAATATCGTATCTTCAACAGAACCGTAATTTGAACCGCCGCTGCTGTCGGAGAAGGGAGAAAGCAGGAGCAAAGAAAGAAAACCTCGAAGAGAAAGAGATAAAACAATATAAGGTCGTAGCTCCCACGGGTGCTGGACTAACGTGTCAAATTACCTGATACGTGGCACTGTCGTCGCACTTTACAACAGGGTTTTCTATTCAGACCACGTTTGCATGTAAGAAGCCAATGTACCACCAGTTGAACTGAGCGTCGTGTACTGAAACAGGATGTCTTTCAGTCTGATGTCTGCAAGTTTGTGTGGTGCCACGAAACTGATGTAACATATTTGATTCTACTGTAACCGTGGATTGTAAAAATAATAAAGAAGTGGTAGGTGATCTTTTTAAGCTCCGTAAAATAAGTCAATATAAGGGACTGCTGAAAATCACAAAACAAAGTTAGGGACGGTTTCTCCTACCGCGTAACTCAGAATAAGAGTTTACTGAGTTACAGACGTTAAAGGGACAAGCAAGTCTCTTAAGCAGGTCTTTTTACT